TCACCTGGAGATGGAGTTTTTACATATGTGATTGGTTCCCATAATCCTGTCTGGGTGGTGGCTTCATAAAAAGAGAAGAGAAAGAGGGAGGGTGACCATGTGACAACAGGAAGAGGTGTTGCCACAAGCCAAGAAACTCCTGGGGCCACCGGACGCTGGGAGTCGAGGGAGGGCCTTCCCTGGAGCCTCGAGGAGAGCCCTGCCCATCTGACCTCAGCTCCAGCCCCAGGAGTCGCTTGGGGCCCAGCAGGGTCTGTCCAGTGCTTCTTCCTCCCTCTGCCAAGACTGAAGCCTAGAGCTGACTCTGTCCTCGCTCAAGGACACTACCCATCGTTTTCTGAGGCTGTAAATCTTTCCAAGAGGAAACTGCCCGTCTTTCTCCCAAGAAGTTATTTCAGTGGACTTGAACCTTTAACTTTTTAGTTAGTAGCCCAGTATTTAGTACAGAACATCACCAGGGCTGGAGAGAAAGGCTATTATCTCAAGTTCACAAGACAGGAAAGGACAGTCAAGTGGAGCAGAGGTTTGCCTGAGTTCCAGGATCCGGGGGGCTGTGAGGTGCTGATCCCTTCTGCCCCACCCCATGCTGCTGTCTCCTCAGATGGGCCAGGGACCCGCCTGCTGCCCCGGAGCTGGCACCCATTACCCGCTAGCACCCGCTGCCTTCAAGCTGGCTCCGGCTCAGAGTGCATCTCCTTCAGCATCCTGAGGCTGTGATTTTCACGGCAGGAGACTGCCAGGCTTTCCCCAGAGGGCCAGTATGTGGATCGAACCACTGATCTTCTGATTAGCAGCCTGACACGTTATGCACTCCGCCACCAGGACTCCCCTAGTGATGGCACAGCAGGGTCCAGTTTGAGTCCCTGGCCCTCATCCCCTCCCTGGCTGCTCTGTGGATAAACAAGAGCCCCCACTCACCTCCTCTGTGAGGCCCAGGAGGGCGCAGCCCCCACCAGGTGAGGAAGACAGATGTGCAGAAGATGGTCCGCTGTCTCGGGGCGGGCGCCTGCGGTATTGACTGTTGATCCATCAGCGTGATGCACGATCACATATGTCACAGCGAGACACAGATAATCTGCTTCACGCTGTTCCCGGGATCCTGGGGGGCGCCGGTTGTCTAAGCACCTTGATGCTGTGGTGATGGACGGCATGCTGGCTCCCAGTGCTCGGAGTGAGCGCTGCAATGGCTTTGGCTGTGCCTCCCCATGGCTCCTTAAGGCATGGGTGTCAGGGTGTGTTAAAGGTGTCAGGCAGACACAGAGCAGTGAGCGCATGTGCCCACATTCTTGTCAGGAGCGAGCCCTCTGCTGTCCACAGGTGTGTGCTGGAGCTGCTTCGCCTCACAAAGACCCTCAGGTCCCCTTCCAGTCCTGCACAGCTGGTGAGTGCAGGGCCCTGCACACCTGGAACGCGGCCACTCCACTGCCAGGACTTCCACTGACTCATCATCTCTGTATGTTCTCTGTATGCCCAGCGTGAACCCGATGTGTTCTCACACAACGTCAAATGACTGGAAGGAAAGAAGGATGGATGGATGGATGGATGGATGATGGGTGGATGGATGGATGAGTGGGTGGATAGATGGATGGATGGATAGGTGGGTAGATTGATGGATAGGTGGGTGGATGGATGGATGGATGGATGGATGGATGGATGGATGGGTGGATGGATGAATGGATAGATGGGTGGATGGAAGAATGGATAGGTGGGTGGGTGGATGGATGGATAGATAGGTGAGTGGATGGATAGATGGGTGGACAGATGGATGGGTGGGTGGATAAATAGATGGGTGAGTGGAGAGATGGATGGGTGGAGAGATGGATGGGTGGAGAGATGGATGGGTAGATGGATAGGTGGACGGGTGGATGCATAGGTGGATGGGTGGATGGATAGGTGGACGGGTGGATGGATAGGTGGATGGGTGGATGGATGGATAGGTGGATAGATAGATAGGTGGGTGGGAGGATAGATGGGTAGTTGGATTGATGAGTGGGTGTGTAGATTCTTAGCAGGCTTCTGCAGGGTGGCTGGCCTCCAGTTGTGGGAGAGTAGGCTATGGAGCACAAGGAAGGGTGTCCCTAGAGAAGGGATTGGGAGTCCTCAGCTATCCTTGAGCTTCTGTGACACCCTAGTGGCCACATGGCTCCCTGAGGTGTGGCTGGGGCAGCCCTGCTCAGGGGTCCAGTGGCTGTGCAGCCAGGGCCTCCAATCTGTCCGCAAATAACCCCAGAAAGCAGAACAGCAGAAGCAAAACCACAGTGCATCCAGAAACTTCATCAAACTTTCAATCTCTCCAGGAAGGTTTTTGTTCAAATGGCTGCTAAGCTGTGAACTTGCTGCACAGCCATCCATCTGCTTTTCTTCCCCAAGTCCTCTCTATGACAGCAATGATTGAGTAGGAGGTCCTGAAAGGAAGGAGGAGCTGGGGAAGCAGGGACCCGTTAGCCTTTCAAGACTTCTCACCTCAATCAGCCCTCTGTCTGTCTGTCCATCTATTTATCTACCTACCCTTCATTATCTCTCCATCCATCCATTTTCTCATCCATCCATCCATCCATCCATCCACTCAGCCATCTGTTCATCCATCTATCCATCCACTTGCTTGTCCATTCTCCCAACTATCCACTCACCTGTGTGTCTAACCACACTTCTAGCCAACTACCCACCTACCCATCATCCAGCCAACCATCTGTCCATCCAGTCATTCATTCATCATCCAGCCAGCCATCTGTCCATCCAGCCACCCACTCATCCATCCATCCATCCATCCATCCATATATCTATGCATCGACCTACCCACCCATCCATTTGTCTTTCTGTTTACCCACCCACGTTTCCACCTATCTCACCATTCATCCACATTCTCCCCGATGCCTACTCATGCTCCTGAGCTGGGCACTGGCTTTAGTAGAATGAGGCACACTTGTAAGACCTGGGGAGTCCATGCCCAGTGGGAGGGAGTGACAGTCCCGGTACAAGGGAGTAAGTAGCCTGCCCAGCTCCCTCAGAGCAGTACTCAGTGCCTAACGCTGTTCACAACAATGCTTTCTGTCTACTATTTTCACTGCCAAATTGTGAGGTCATTATTACAATCAATTCCATTTTACCAAGGAGGAGACGAGGCATAGGGAGGTTAAAGTAAGATGGCCCCAGAGTCTGTGCTCCTGACTACGACTCTATCCACCTTGGTGCAGGTGTGTGTCCGGGACAAGGAGAAAGGCAAATGAGTTACCTCGAGTGGAGGGGATGGGGTACCCAGGAAGGCTTCCTGGAGGAGGTAAGACTTCTGAAGAAAGGTTAGCAAGCAAATGGGCTGGGGAAATGGGGGAGACATCCCTCCAGTAACAGGAGTCCTGAACTGGGCCACAGTTGTGGGCCTTGCTGTCACCTCCTTCAGGTCCACAAATATTTGCTGGCTGCCTGCTGTGTGCCGGCCATGGTTGAGATGAGCCATGGCTGGGGCCTCAGGATACTCCCCCGGAGGGAACAGCCCACAGACAGGCCCTTTAAGTGCTGTGGGGAGCTTCCTCTTGAGGGTGCAAGGAGCTATGTGTGGCCTGCGCACAGTAAGCAGAAGTGCCATGGAGAGGGGGCCGTTCCCCCACTCCCCACAGTGGGGAGTCACTTCCTTCCTCCTTGAAGACTCCAGCCCCAGGAGGAGACACTGCCGTGTGGCCAGGGGCTGAGACCACCAGTGTTTCCACACTTGTTCACGTGATCCGCACTGGCCCGGCCACCAAGGCCAGCTACCAGGTTCTTGGCTCTGTCCACACTGGCAAATGTGGAGGAGGTGGGAGCCCTATGGCAGCATCTAGATTTTTTTCCAGAGACCTCCTCGGACCATGGGACAGCCCTGTAGTTGACCTAAAGCCCCACCCTCGGAGTGGACAGGACCACTGGGACGGGACAAGAGGGCTTGACTGAGCACCTAACTGAAAGCTGACCTTACCACAATGGTCTAACATTCCCTGCTGCAGTGCAAATGAGTTCTCCATCACGGGAGGTAAGCAAGCTGGAGGACATGGACCCTGCCTGCTGCTGGGAGACTGCAAAGCCTCTTCTCGGTTCCAGCTGCCCAGCATCTGTGGCTGCCAAGCATTTCCTCTAAGACGCAGCTGTGAGGACTTTTCATTGACCAGCTACTTTGAACACAGAAACCGGCTGAGGGCAGTGTTCTCGCTGACCCTATGTTACAGATAAGGGCACTAGAGTTCAGAGGGCCCATGCCACCTGCCCAGCGTCACATAGCCAGTGAGCAGTGACCCGAGGGTTTGAACTCCCAACACTCTGCTTTCAACCATTCGCTGGGTTATGATGTGCTTGATTCTTCTGGTCAGGCTGCCGGGCTGTTTATAACCACCCTTTTCAGGAACAGTGAGAGAGTGCCTGGCTCTGGCCACATGGGGGGATTAGTCACAGACCTGGCCCATTGTGGGCCTTCCCTGTTCGACTGTGCTGTCTCTCCAGCCTGTGACACCCAGCAGATCCAGCAAGGCTGCGCCATTTCCCCACGTCCACCACGTGCCTCCACGCGTCCTTACGTACCATCGAGTCGGAACGGACTCATAGATGACCCTCCAGCAGGTTTTCAGAGATTGGGGAAGTGGTTACCCATGTTTCCTGCCAAGCAGCTGGTGGATTTGAACAGCGTTCCTTTGTATTGGCAGTGTAACTCCTTACCCACTAGGCCACCAGAGCTCCCCACAGCCTGGTCAGGCCTGGACATTTGCAGGGCTGCGTCGCCGGGAAGAGGCTCGCCCCACGAGGCTTGTGATGACCTAAGGGCCGGCCCACATGCGGCAGGATGGACGGGCCCTACGGGTGGCGCGCCCTCCGCCGCTGGCTGTCCTGTGCCAATGGCGCCACCTGGTGACACGTGAGGTCTCGTCCTCTCCTGATCTCTCTCCCTCCTCCTTTAGGGGTCGTGGCCAGCCTGGAGGTCAACCTTCATCAAGGGTTGACGGGCAAGGCGATAAGATGGCAGGGCAGGTGGGCCCTGGGGACGGGGACGGGCAGAAGCGAGGACATGGGGCAGGAACAGAGCGAGGTAGGACTCCGGCGACTTGGTAATCTTTTCCCCACGCTGTCCACCTGCGCGCCTACCCACCCCAGAGCGGACACGTCTGGGTTCCACTGCCTGGCACGCAGAGGGGTGGCATGGACAAGCGAATGAATGAATGGAAGGAGAGAGGAGAAGTCAGGTACTCACACCAGGCGCTCAGTCTCGGCGCCAGGAAGGGGGCTGGGACCTGTCCAGGCTTTGGGGCGCGGGGGAGAACAGCACATCCACTCTGCCTCCCAGCCAGGGGTCCTAGCCAGCACCCCCAGGAGCGTCCCATGAGCACCGTTTGGATAAGCCACTTAGCTCGGGACACTTTATCAGAGGGTGATTAGCTACCGTGCAAACCGGCCCCCCCATCCTTTGCGGGGAGTTCAGCCAATTAGGGAAGCAATTAGCCTCCCGGGAGGCCGGTTCCGCACTGTCTTTCCCGGGGGTCTTGGGACACAGGGGCGTGGGGGACGGGGCAGTCACTGGCTTTGCAAATTCCCAGCTTCCCGCCCCCGCCCT